TAAAAGAGGTCCAGAAAATTAAACAGATGAAATATCTCAAAACATGTAACAAAAATATGGAAATGCAGATTGTGTGGTGAAAGACGGGAGACTGAACCAGACCTAGGAGATTTAGCCTGCAAATTCTTTGAGTTCCAGGAGAAAAGGAACGGCAGAGGAGAGTTTATAATGAAATAATAGGTGAAAATTCCCTAAGCTGAAGACATACAACCCTTTACAGGTTAAAATTCCTGAACTCTAAAGATAAGGGAAATCTTACACATTTCCAGGCAGAAAGTTCTTTCTTCTTATGTGCAACTCTGGAAGTTAAAAGAGAGCAAAGGAGAAAAGAAAGATATTTGAAGATTTGTAAAAAATATTCAGTATCTCATCCGAGAAATACTTTTAAGAAAAGACTCTAGTGAAACAACAAATGAATTATAACAGACTTCAAGATAGGTGAAGGTCAAGGGAAGAGGAAAGAAAACAGTGGAGTGCAACGAACCATGATCTATATATTTATATCTATGTCTATATATGTATAGCACATCATATAAACGCTAAAACTCTTGAAACAGAAGGAACACATACATCATAAAGGAACTTCTAATAGGGACTAAGTCATCTCAAGAAAACTCTTGGAATCAGGTAGTGAGGGTAAGGCAAAGTAAGTGTTCCAAGGATCTGAGGGGGGGAGGAGGAGGAGGAAAGGTAGTGAAAGTAATCTAAAGACCATTTCTTATTGGGTTGGGGAGGAAGTAGAAGATAAATAAAGTATGATGGAAACAGTTATTCTGTTTTCACATACTAGAACAATCATGTGCATCTATTTCAGAGAACAGGGCAAAGGATGGTAACTATTAATAGAATGACAAACTCCAAATTAACAAGGAGAAAATGGGATGAATGGCCATTCATTCAATGCAACAAAGGTAAAGAAGGGTTCACAACAATGCTTACAAATTCAAAAACAAGTAAGATGGAAATAAATCAAATATATCACTCAGTATAGTAAAAATGAGTGGACTGAACTCTTCCATTAAAAGACTCTAAGGCTTTGTTATAAACCAAATCCTGGTCAATGCTACTTAGAAGAAACATATTTAAAGCAAAGTGATCAGGGGCACCTGGGTGGCTCAGCTGGTTAAGTGCCCTACTTGGACTCCATTCATGATCCCACAGTTCACGAGTTCAAGTCTCACATTGGGCTCTCTTGTCAGCAAGGAGAAGAGACTTAGCCTATTTTTGGAAAAGACTGCATTCAAATGGCACCAGAGCTAAGTTTTATCTATTCTTAAATAATGATAACTTCCACAGCATTTAATTTAGTCAAAACTATGGGAAAAGAAGAAAATTCCCATATTTAATATTTAGAGCCAGCCTAATTTAATACAATTCCTAATAAAAATTCTAAGTAAAAATGAAAAAGAGGAAAACTGCTGAAATATAATGAAGGCTTTTTACCAAAACTTAACAGCAAATATTGTTCTCAAGGGTGAAATATTAAAACGATTTCCATTAAAATAAACATTTAGACAGAGATGCCTGCTATTATTATTTAACATATCTTGGATGTTTTACCAAATGCAGTAAGTTCTTAACCACATTTACATTTTTGTCAAGTAAAATAACATATTCACAGAGTCTGGGGATTAAAGTGTGAACATTTTGGAGACGCTATTATTCTGCGTACCATGCTCTGTTTATAGATTAGGGCCTCCCAGAGCCAGTGGACCAAAGTAACGAAGATGGATATAACCTGATTTTCAGGGTCTCAGGAGACTTCCTTGACTTCTTGATGTGGGCTACACTTCACCAAAGTTCATACAGATGAGCCCCTTTCCACACAGCAAATTCTTTCCCAACGTCCTCATAGCTGGGCTCCCTCCTCTTATCTACCTTTACAACCCAGTCCTTGTAATAAACAATGGAGAGGCCAGGAGAGAGCAAGAAATGGGTTGAGTGTCTGTGTTCATATGATATAACGGTTATGGGAAAGCTGAAATGCACAGCACTGGCCTCTCAGCTCTTAAAAGCCCCCAGGAGGGGCACCTGGGTGGGTTAGTCAGTTAAGCGTCTGACTTCGGCTCAGGTCATGATCTCACAGTTCGTGGATTCAAGTCCCACATCAGGCTCTGTGCTGACAGCCAGCTCAGAGCCTGGAGCCTGCTTCAGATTCTGTATCTCCCTCTCTCTCTGACCCTCCCCTACTCACGCTGTCTCTCTCTCTCTCTCTCTCTCTCTCTCTCAGAAATAATTAAAACATTAAAAAACAACAACCCCTCCGCCCCCGACTCTCCTGACATTTGGGCAGGCGGAGGCACAGCCTGAGTTACAGGGCTCCTCTCTGATATCCAATCTTGAAAGGTAATATGAATGCCAATATCGTAAAGGCCTCACGTGACACACGTGAGGAAGAAGGATCCTGCTCTCACACCCTATTCAGAAAAGAAGGTGTTGGAAGGGAAAGGAGAATGTCACAAGGGGATGTGTAACCATCATCAACAGAGCTAAGGAGGATAGAGATACAGGCCAAGACTGCTGAAGTTGTCTATGCCATTGCCGATGTGCAGTTTAGCTCACTCCAGGTGCATTCAGGTACACTCTCTCCTGAAGCCTCTCCAAGGTCCCATTTAGGCAGCATATCCATTGATTTTTTTTTTTTTTTTTTTGAGCACATACTAGACACTTGGTTTGGTATTTTACCTGGCATCCAGGCCATGTTCTCCTGTGTATTGGTTCTGAAAACTGGGACATTATAGTTTACCGAATTCCTGCAAATGTTCCTGCAAAACAGATCTACACATACACTGCCCCACCCCCATATACCACAGATACAAGTACCCTGACTGCCCCCACCCACCCGTGCCACCAGCTGCTCTATGTGCTCCCACTCACTCTCACAGGCCCCAGAGGCCCCCAGGGAGCCACCAACACACACCATCCTATGTTATCTGGAGGAGGTCCTCATAGGGTGACTGGGGGAGGGGACAAGGTTGCTGGAAACTTTAATTGAGCAAGGACGGTTAGCAGCTGCAGGGACACCTTAGGAAATAGCCTTAAAAAAGAAAGGTTTCTATAATCTGTCCCCATGACCTTTTTAAGACTTTTCTGAAAATGGTCTCTCATTCCCTGCCATGGAAAAAAATAACAGCTCTCACAGGCACCCTTCAGCCCACAGAATCCTCTGAGCTTAATCCTCCCAGCAGCCTTGACATAGATGCTCACCTCACACAGTTACCCCAACAGACTGCAAAGAGCAGGGGGGTGCATGTACACATGTGCACACTCACACACAGGCACATACCTGCCTCTTCTCAGGTGACAAATGTGTTTTTTTCTACCTCAGTGGGCACTTTTTCTGGGTGGGCTGTGGGGTGCTGCTGGGCAGAGCTCTCAACAGACCCATAGGGCCCATTACAGCACCCCTCCACACACCACTAGTCATACACTACGGCTGTTAGCATGTGGTGAGGACCTCCTTCCCCTTCCTTTTTCCTCCCCACAGAGGTGGCAGTGTGTGAAGAGGTTCTGCGGGGGCAGATGTCATCTACTTCAAGTGGGTTTTTTCCACCTACATACCTTGTCTTGTTCCAGCTTCTTGCTACCCACGGAAGTAAGCCCTTTTGGGGTCATGTGCTGGTAAAAGAACATTAGGGAGCACTTTTGAATTACTGTTCAACAACCCCTCCTCCCCCACTGGTTTCCCCCTCAGCTAGGCCCTTGGCCCCCTTAAGGGCCTCCCAGCCCCTGCTCTTCTCCCACAAATGGCCCCTTTTTCTTGGGGCTGGGTGTAAACGGCCAATGTTGAGACTTTTTTTTTTTTTAAGGAAGACCTTAAGAAGGAAAATAAGAGAAAAAACTAAAACCAAACCAAGAAAATAAAACCTCAGGTCCAGAGTCTGTGCACTCAGCACCCAGCCCTGCTTTGTTTCCTTGCCTCCCTTCTAAGATGCTGCAGCCCTTCTTCACCCCTACCCAATGCCTTTGTTCACCTGCTCCCAGACCCCCCACAGGGTGCATAAGTGGTCAGTGCTGCAGGCTTTCCAAAAGTGTACAAGCTGTGGGTTGTTTCTCATCCTCACCCCCCACCCAGGCTTATCCCCAAGCTTCTGGCTCCTGGACTCAGCTTGCTGGATCCAGCTTGGATGTCTGGAGTCCAGAGTCCAGCAGGAGGCAAGACGGAATGAGGAAGGGGCTGACTGGCCAAATGTGTGATCAGTAGGGAACAAGGGTCCAGAAGGCCAGGGAAAGTTTGTGAAGAGGGAGTCTGGGGGAGTTTATAGAAGAGAAGCACTGTGGTACCAGATCCTCTGCATCCTCCAAAGGGCTGCCACATTCTCAGGAAGGGCTTTGGAATAAGAACCTTCCTATGTGTGAAATCCTTGGTAGCTCTGTAGGGCTACAGCTGGAGGGGAGCTGAGTGAGTCTACCCTGAAAGCCCCCAAACTGATAGGGAAATGAGGCCCACCAAACCAAGTTTCTCCTCCTGGGAACTTATATCTGCTGGGAACTCCAGGATGACGAGGAGCAAGGGCTCCAAAGTAGGGTACCCCAATGTGATGGAGAAGATGGAGTTCCATTCTGGAGCAGTGACTGGGGAGATCCTGTGTTTAGTTGGACACAAAAGAGCTCTGACAACACATAGATAAGCCCGTGGACAGAGCAGCCAAGAGAAGAGCACAGGGCAAATCAGGGTAGATGGTCAGGAGGATAGGCATTTAGAGCCCAGTACTGGCAAAGTGGGTGTGGGATGCATGGAAGGGGAGCACAGGCAGGACACAGGGACCTGAGTAGTGATCCAGTGACACCTCCAGCCTCTCCCCACATGTTGTGGACCTCAGTTTCCCATCCACTGTCCCTCTGGCAGAGGCTTAGGGATGTCGTCCGCTTCACCGAACCCATCTGTCTGAGATTTGCTCATATCTTCCTCTTTTGTAACTAGAAGTCACAGAGCAAAGCACTAAGCTGTGCAGTCACAAAAGGAACACAGAGCCTAAGAGTGTGAAGGGACAGAGGGGAGAGTGTCAAGGGAAGCTTGGGGCCAGTGGAAGAAGGGGGGGAAGGGTGGGAGCAGAGGTGCTCTGGGCCATGGCTGAGGCCATCACCTATGCAGACCTGCGGTTTGTGAAGGCTCCCCTGAAGAAGAACATCTCCAGCCGGTTAGGACACGGTAAGGGTGTCAGAAGCACCTCCTTGATTTTGCAACCTTAGGCTCCCTCATGACCCTACCTCCACCTCCACCTTTTCTCTCCTCTCCAGACCTGGAGGCTGATGAGGATGAGGAACTCACCTACGAGAATGTACAAGTGCCCTCAGTCTCAGGTGGGCCCTTGAGCTTGGCCTCTTCTGGAGGAGGGAACAAAGCAGGTACGGAATGCCCAGGGCGTGTATGTTTGGCGGGAGCGGAGGGGGGGCTGGAGGAGGGGGTGCGAGGAGAGCTGTGTCTCCAGCTGCGAGTCCACAGTATTCTTGGGGTGGGGGAAGAGGGAACAACACCCTTGGGAAAGGAGGGGGTGCTTAGGAAAGAGAAGACTGAGCACTGGATAAATGGGAGCCAGGGAAGAATAAAGCTCCCCGGGGCAAGGTGGAGATCCCAGGGGGGAGACAGTGGCTCCTGGGAGCGGTCAGGGCAGCCCTGTGGGGAGAGGAGTTCGAATGGGAAGTGGGGAGTCATGGGACAGAGAAGAGAGGGGAGGGGAGGGGGGTGGACGAGCTTCCGGGAGAGGCACCGGGGGGATGGGGGGGGCGCTGAGGAAAACATAAGGGGAGACCCAGTTGGGGGAGGAGGGGATCCCCGGGGAGAGGATATAGTAAGACCTAGCGGAGACAGTAGAATCCTGGCGGGGGAGGCAGAACTCTGGAGAATGCTCCCGGTGTCCCGGAGCATTCTAGCGTTTGGCTGAAGGCTTCTCAGCGCGATGGAGAGGGAGAGGGTGGAAAGAAGCGAATTTCCCGGGGCTTCCCATCTTCAAACTGGAGTAGCTACCGGTCCGCAGGGCTCCAGTCGGAGCAGCCAACTGCGTCCTGGAGCTCCGTGGCGTCACCGGCTGCCGGGAGGATTCTCACTGGTGAGTACTGAGCTCCCCAGCTGCGCGCGCCCCCCGCAACGGGGCTCGCGCTCAGGCACGCGGGGCGGGGCGGGGCAGGGCGGGGCAGGGCGGGGCGGAGCCTCCCGCTGGGCGGCCGCTCCCACTTCACCCACCTCGCGAGGCCGCATGGTACGTGGTCGCGATGTGAAGTGCTGGCGGGGTCCGGGCCGGGCTGGTGCTGGGCCCGGCGGTGTTGCGGGTCTGTTACCGAGGGTTTAGCGGAACAGCTCTCCGGAGTGCGAGGGCTGCCCGAGACTCCCTTCCCCGTCCTTTTCACCCCCATTACCACATACATCTTTCCCACAGGTTGACCTAGAGCCTCCCTTCTCCCCCTTTACGGTGGTCGCCACTCATATATCCCCGTCCTCTGTCTCCGCCTGAGATTTAGTTCCCATCTTACTAGGCAGCCCCCCTCAATCCTTACCAGCAGCAATCCCAGCCCTTATTCTGGAACATTTTCCCTCTGCTACCTGCGGAAACTCATTACCCGACGAAACCCACCATGCCTGCACCGTATCCTCTGAGGGATGCCCTTTCCCATGAATACCCACCGAGCCCCTCAGTCTATAGACTTTCGTGGGGTTCTCTGCCCTTCATCCCACTGTCTCCCTAAGGCCGGGCAACCTGCACGCAGTACCTCTTTCTTGGCCTGCTCCTCACCTGCCTGCTGTTAGGGGTGGCCTCCATCTGCCTGGGAGTGCGCTGTGAGTATGGCTCTCCCCCATTTCCCACTTACCCCAAGCAATTTTCTACTCCACTCTCCCCAGAGGCTGCCCTTCCTCTGGGAAGGGCCGCAAGTCACCACCACCATATCCTTAGCTTTTGGTCTGGTCTCCAGCCAGGTCTGTTTTAGAGTGCTGCATCCTCCTAAATTGTCCTTACCTGATCCAGTACCTCCTTAAGCCTTAGGCAGTCAGATCCTGTATTTCAGCCTGTTATGCAAAAATTTTCAAGAAGCAGAAAAAAGACTGATGCTGAAGTCTCAGGGCACCAGAGCACGGCTGAGAAAGATGTCCTCCAAATCTCTCATTATTGCTGAACAGATCTGCAGGTGTCTCAGCAGCTCCAGCAGATGAACAGTGTTCTGGAAGCCACTAACAGCAGCCTGAGGCAGCAGCTCTACCTAAAGATAACCCAGCTGGGGAAGAGGGAAGAGGATATGCAAGGGTCTAGGAGGGAACTGGCCCTGAGTCAGGAAGCACTACAGGAGGAACAGAGAGTTCACCAAGCCACCCAAGAGCAGTTACAGGCCTGCCAGTCTGACAGGGAGAAGACAAAGGAGGCCTTGCAAAGTGAGGAGGAGCAGAGGAGGATTTTGGAGCAGAAGCTGAGCAGGATGCAGGACACAATGAAGCCCTTGTTTACATGCCCCGCATCAGGTATCTGCTCTGGGAGAGGAGGGATGGGAGGGTGTGCGTGAGGGATGGAGTGAAATGAGGAGATACTGGTGGCATGGGCAGGGATCTATCTAGCAGGGGGCATATTAAGTAGTTGAGGAAAGAAGATAGTGAGTGAATCAGAGTGTTGGCTGACACAAGCTCTGCAGCCTTGGCCAACAGAGAGGAGGAGCAAGTTGCATATTGGATTCAGGGCCACTCACCCAGCTCTCAGGCAGAGCCTCCAGGAGAGGAGGGTGTCAGGCAGCAACGCAGATCTCACTGTCCAAAGCACCAAAATCAGGTCTCGTGTGGCTTGGTTTCAGTGTCAAAGATCTGGGAATGCCCTGAATTTGGATGTGAAATTGGTTGTTTGCACATTTTTCTAAAGAGAGGGTCTATAGCTTTATTTCTCACTACATCTGAGATTCCTCAAAGGTTAAGAATTACTGATTGATGAGGGGTGGTGGGGCAAGGTAGCTGAAGCTTGCAAGCGTGGGTAGCACTCACAATGAGGTGGGGGGGTAATGTGGGGTAGGGAACTGGATTGGTGTGTTCATCTATTTTGAAGGCAGGAGCCCAGGCACTGTGTGGGGGTGAGAGAGGGGACACATAAAAGGGGAGAGGCTGTGCAAAAAGCGGGCTGAGATTAGAGGTAGGTTGCCAGGGCCAAGGCAACTGGAATGTTCATGGACTGGTTACCTATTGTCCAGGTTAGGTTCTGTCTAGTTTAGGGGGCATCTGGATACTCCTCCAAGGCTTAAGATAGCAAGATTATGTGTAGACACACCCAAACCTCATATCTATAGCCTTCACATTCTCTATGACCCTCAGTTCTATGCAGTGCTGCCGCCTGGTCCCTCAGCTGCACCCTAGATCCCAGAATCCTAAACTGTTCTTCCACTGAAAGGCGGGTTTCCTATCTCAACTCCGAGATCTGTTTTTTTGTTTGTTTGTTTTAAAGTTTATTTATTTATTTAAAAACTTTTTTAATGTTTTAATTTATTTCTGAGAGAGAGAGCATGAGCAGGGGAGGGTCAGAGAGTGAGGGAGACACAGAATCTGAAGCAGGCTCCAGGCTCTGAGCTGGCTGTCAGAACAGAGCCTGACGCGGGGCTCGAACCCACGAACCATGAAATCATGACCTTAACCGACTAAGCCACCCAGGCACCCCTATTTATTTCTTTTGAAATAGATAGAGTGAATGAGTTCGAGCAGTGGAGAGGCAGAGAAAGGGAGAGGGAGAGAATCTCAAGCAGGCTCTGCACTGTCAACACAGAGCCCGATGCAGGACTCAATCTCAGGAACTGTGGGATCATGAGCTGAAGTCAAGAGTCAGACTCTACTGACTGAGCCACTCAGGTGTCTTATTTTATTTTATTTTGTTTTATTTTATTATTTATTATTGATATAATCTCTGCTCCCTATGTGGGGCTTGAACTCATAACCTCCAGAGCAAGAGTCACATGCCCTTCTGACTGAGCCTACCAGGTGCTCATTCAGACCTCCACTCCGATCACACCCTGCTCCTGCAGGCTTTCCCACATGTCTTTAACCTCATTGAGGCCTCCAACCCACTATCTCTCCCATTTCCTCACTGCATCAGCTGGCACATCTCTCTCTACCCATCACTTCAGTCACTCACTCCTTTGTTCCATCGACCTTCTGGTGCACCAGAGTTCATCACCTGATGAACTCAAGTGCCCACCTTGTGCATGCCTGCACCCATGTGTGCCATATTGTGCGGTCGTTCTGCTTGGTGCCACCAGAACTCTAGTCTCCATCTCAGCTGGTTCCTTGGTGCTGCCTGGCAGCTGGCAGCTTGCTCTCCATGGTAGCTCCTTACCCCACCACCTGCTCTCTCACTTTCAGCAGGTGCCCGGCTCCGTCAGAGGAACTCCCTCCATTTCCTACCACCATATTTATACATTCGTTCACATTTTTGCCCACCCCCATCTTCTGCAAGGATCACTGCAGCAGCTTGCTGCACTGTTCTTCCTAAACATCCCTCTACACCTCCCTCCCCCATCCATTTTTCATGTTGCAGCCTGGGTGATCTTTTAAAAATCTGATCATGTCATCCCAGTTAATTAATTGCATCAAAAGTTATGGAATAAATACTACACATCTAGCCCTGTGACCAACACTTGGGATATAGCCAGTGAACAAAATTCCTCTACGCAAAGCCCTACATTGACTTCTTCTTCCTTGTAAAAAAAAAAAAAAAAATCCTTCACGTGGCTCCCAAGGTGCCTGCCTACTTTTCAGCATGACCCTTATCCTCGGAGCCTTTTCCATGGTACCCACACTGACTTTTTATTCATTTTAGTTGCCTTAGGACAGAAACGCAAGGGGGTAGCTGGGAGGAGGGCATGAGAAAATGTAGACAGAAGAGAGGGAGTGAGTGGGGAAGGAATGATCTTTGAGTGATGGAGGTAGGACTTACGGAACAAAGCAATGAGAGAGTGGGTTGGTATCAGGAGCACTGACTGGAGTATGGGCTGTTGAAGAAAGAGGGATGTTTATTTCTCATAGTCAGGAACAGAAGAACAGGGAAGAGACAAATTTTGGGGTGGAAGGGAAGGAAATGGAGAGAGTTCACATCAAGTGTCCGGCAGTTTCAGCAGAACAGGAACGAAAGTTATTACTTGTGGAAGAGTGGAGAGGAAAGGAAAGGAAAGGAGGTGGTTAGCAGCTTGTGGGGTGTGGGAAAGTTTTGAATATGCAGTGAGGAATGCTTTAAGGAGCTATTGAGATGAATTAGAGCCTACTGAACACTTATGGGGGGCCAAAGTGTAGGGGGTGCAGACTGCAATCATTCAGAAATTAGAAATAGTACCACCTGCCCTATTAATATAAACCTCCCAGACTGTTAAGGAGTGATATTGTTGAATACTAAGGGCTTTTCCTAAGTATGCATAGGAATGGAATTACCAGGGGAGGCCAAAGAAAGATAGATCACAAAGATCAAGTATTAGAAGTCAGTAAAGGTGCTGAGATTAGACCGAGGGGGACGCTGTGAGTAACCAGATTGCAGAGTCCTCACTTTCATCCCAAATGGGGAGATCTCCTTCCTGGGTTTGGGCTGTGCTGTCATACTGTCACATTCTTTCTGGTTTTTAGATACCTGCTGTCCCTTGGGATGGATACTGAGCGAGAAGAGTTGCTTTTACATCTCATTTACTGCGAGAACTTGGGAAGAGAGCCAAAACCACTGTAAATCTCTGTCCTCTGACCTGGCCATGGCCACATTCAGTGACTATTATCTAGTAAGCACACCCTTATTCACAGACTGTAGTGGGTAAAGGAATATATACTGTCAAGTGAGGAATGGCAGTGCGCATGTAGCACGCATTCCTTTTCTGTGCAGCTTCTCAGCACAATGCTTGAGGGGGCCCCTACCAACGGACTGGAGGTGGCATGAGAGTTGAAGCTTATGAACCATCTTTACTTTAACCTGTTTCTCATCTCAGCTTTCTGGTCAGCTCTCAGCACTGCTTTGCAGCTTGTTTGACTCTCATGGCCTTTCAGGCAGAGAGGTCCCAAACTGGTGGGCTGGATTGAAGGGACGGGCTCCTTGTGAACAGAGCAGCCCATGGAATGACTCCCCTTCAAAGACTCGCAGAAATCCTTACCCAGCTGGGAGGTGAACTGAAGGGTGAGCCTCCACCTGAATGGTGGCCCTCGAAGGCTACAGGGATAGGTTACTGATGACCTGATGTCATGCAAAGGTCAGACACAGTCCTCTTGTCAGAGCTCATAGGCCTCCCTGTAGTGTTCATTTTCTTCCACTGGCCCATGTCCTCTCCCCCCTCCTCACACTGGAATATTCCTCATCATCTCCCACATACCTGTCATCTCTCTGAATCTCCCCTCAGGTTAATCCTTACAGCGTGAGGAAGGTGTTGACAGAAGTAAGTCCACCTGGTCCATTTTGGGTTACCTACAACTATGCTAAGATGCAGCAGTCTGACAGTAAAAGATACTCTGGGTAAGTCTGTTAGGATTCCTGGGCATGTGCAACTCCATAACTCCTTCATAAAGACATAGAATTGCAATTCCTCTCCAGGTCCTGCTCCCAACACTCTTTCACAAGTCCATATTGTAATGGCCTATTTGTCCATTTCCTTTACTTAGTAACTCTTGAGGACAGTCTTATTTTCTTTCCCCTCCCAAGTACCTAGCAGTCCCTGGTACCCTTTTTTTTTTTTTTTTAAGTTACTAGGTTGGGACTTATTTTTTTAAGTTATTTATTTCAGAGAGAGAGAAAGAATGAGAGTGGCAGAAAGAGAGAGAGAGAGAGAGGAAGAGAGGGAGGGAGGGAGAGAACGAGAACTCCAAGCAGGTTCTGCACTGTCAGCACAGAGCCAGAATGTAGGGCTTTGAACCCATGAACCATGAGACCATAACCTGGGCTGAAGTCGGATGCTTAACCGACTGAGCCACCCAGGTACCTCTAAGTTACTGGGTTGGGACGTGTGTCATCTTTCCTCAGAGGGAGAAGCTGAGGCTTTAGCTAGGCCTTCACAGCTAGAACCCTAGCATTCTAACTTCCCATCCCTTGACAAGGCTATCGAAATTGAGGTGGCACTTTCTCTGTCAGGATCACTTGGCACTAGAGTTGCCCCAGGAAGTAAGGGAGCAGTGGGATAACTTTGAAGATCAACTCCAAGGACCCTGAAAAAGGATAGTGATCACCTCTGTTCCCTAACTGGAGTTTCCATCTTTAACATCTTGGGTGATTTTTCCCTCTCCTGGTCCTAAGGCCTCTTCAGGTTAGAGTAGACATCTGTCCATGAACTGTGCCCAGAGGTGGCCTTAGGCAGGCAGGGCAAGCTAGGATGTCATTGTGTTTAATGAAGGCAGGGGAGAGAAGGGGGGTGGGGTGGGAGGGGCAGAGCTTATCCAAGTTCGACTTCACCAATCTTTAGGTCTTATGGTCGAGGTTCAAGATGTTACAGGGTACAAAACACTTGGCCAAGGCTGCAGCAGGAGGACTGCACTTCTAAACTTCCCTGCATCTGCGAGATGGCAGTTTTAAGAGATCCAAACAGGGAGTACTCTTTGCCCTGAGTTGGGTAAGCATGAGGGATGGGACTGAGGCTTGAGCGCTGGGGAGGGAGGAGGGAGAGGATCTCAGAGCAGGGGCTCAGAAGTCGGGAAAAAACGTATTCCTGAGAGTGACAGTCACCACCACTGACCTCAGGACCTTGGTCTGCTTATGTAAGGGGTGGAGGGGGCGATTGGGCAGGGAAGGCCTGGAACTGGAGGGAGGCTTCTTGGCTGTCTAAGCAGCTGGGATTAGCTGGATGAACGTTCTTAGTAACAGTGAACCCTGGAGCTAACTGATGCTTTACTCTTACAGGTACGCATGCCAACAAGAGACTGTGCCCCTCACCTGTAACTGCGGCCTGCAGGCCCTCAGATCATCTTCCTCCAGTGTTCTCTCACTCTGCCTGGGCAGTGCCCAGCCAAGGGCTGATCCATGCCCAACACTTCTACCCAGCCTGCTGCCTACTTGAAATCCTGTCCGAGAAACTGGACTGTTCCTGGGAAAGCGGGTGAAGAAGTCTCTAGAAGAGATTTTGGCCTCCCCAAGAACTTCCCAGAGTGGAACTGGGGGGGGGGGGGCGGGGGGGGAGAGGAGGGCGCACGGGCTGAGTGGATAGGGGCAGCCCGGAGCCAGCCAGGCAGTTTTATTGAAATATTTTTAAATAATTTGCACGTGTTAGTCTCATGTGTCAGCAATGCTTTGTCTGGTTCAGTGATCGCCCACGGGAGAGCAAGCCCAGGGGCTAGATAGGAAATGTTCTGTCCCTTGAGTCCATGCTGAGGTTCCCCTACATGGGGAGAAGAGCTGGTCAGCCCATCTGGGGCTGGCACTGTCCAACATGGGTGCTCTGTCCTCACAGGGCATCCTGAAGGCCAGGGTTAGAGGCCAGAGACCACAGGCTCCACTGCTAAGAGCGAGCCCCAGGCAGCTGCAGGCCGGGTGTGGGAGGCTTGGCATGGTGCCCTCGGTGGCAGAGGAGACTGCCCGCCTCACAGTTCAGGTTGCGGTAGCGGGCAACAGCTGGTGTGGGGCGGGGGCACATGGACAGGAAGCCAAAGCTGAAAGGGCCAAGACAGCAGCCAGGGCAGGGCAGCGCCTCATCAGACTCCCGGGGAGCTGAGGGGGGCGGCGAGGGTTCTGTCCGCTCCAGGGCTGCCGCCCGGGGCAGGCTATGCTGGGCCCGGTTCCAGGGCTCCCCAGCCCAGCCTTGCGGGGAGTTCACCACCACAGCTGGGGGATTGTTGTTAAGGCTAGGTCCTGATCTAGGGGACCAGGGCTGGGAGGCCGAGGAACAAGTGCTGATGAAGTTGTCTGTGGCCACGGCCAGAGGCAGCTGCAGAGCTGGTCCTGGGGGTTCTGGCTCAGGGCTACTGCCCTCACACTCCATTCGTTCTTCAGCCGAGGAGCCCACAGTGGGGGGGCCAGGACCTGGCAGTGCTGTCTCCATACGTCGGGGAAGCTCAGGGGATGATGGTAGCGAGCGGCAGCGACGGGCAGGTGTCCCAGGCTGGACCAGGGTCTCTGGAGTGGTCACCAAGGGCAGCTGGGTGGAGGGCAGTGGTGACTGTGGTACCAGGGGCAGGGGGGCGACTGGCTTGCTGGGTGTGTCCAACAGCTTGATCTTGCCTCCCCTGAGGTCTTCCCGTAGTGAAAAGGGGTTGACTCGAGTCAGATTGTCCCCCCAGTTGGGGGGTGATTCTGGTGATGGGGGCAGGAAGAGGTCTGACCGGCTTCGGGAAAGCCGGGGGTCTGGCCTAGGAAGTGTGGCAGAAGGACCCCCTCTTGAAACAGACCCTGTAGACAGAGAAGTGTGTGGTTACTGTTCTTAGCATTGATCAAAGTTCCTTGCGGCCTCATAGTCTCACCAGGAGGCTGGTGGGACTAAGGCTTACAAAAGGGAGTTCCACTGGGTACTTTGGAAAGGGGCAGATGTCACCTCTAGCCCTCCTTTACCTCTTCTTTCCTTCTTCTCCTTCCTTGGCTCTAGAATTTGAATTTTTTTTTTTTTTTTTTTTTGAGATGTCCTTTCACCACAACCCACCTACAGCCTTCTCAGCTAATAAATATACTTAGTCTTCCCCAGATAATTCCCTGAGTCCTAGGGAAGAGAGGCAAAAGGACTTCTGTTGGCTCAAGGTCATGCTCACTTACTCTGATTGTGTGTCAGGGGAGCCCTGGTGAGGGGGGATGGCTCAGGCAGCTGCTCGAGGATCCATTCCAGGTGCTGGGTGATTTCAGTGAAGGGAGCACGAGTGCTAGGTTCCATCTGATGGGTAGAGAAAGGGGCAGCTTCATTCAGGGCTCCAGAAGAGGGTCCTTATGACTTCCTCCCACCACCTGGGACAGGAAGGCCTTGCCAGCTGAGGGCTATGGGTGGTAGGCAAGGGAAGGGAGCGAGGATCTTACACTGCAGCAGTGGATGGCCAGGAGCAGGAAGGGCAGTGGGCAGTCATCCCCTACCAGGGTCTGGAAAGCAGGCACATCCAGGCCAAAATCCTGTGGGTACAGAGAGGAGGGGCCTTCAAGTCAGCCTTCCATGGGTTCTCCTTCTGCCCCCCAGTCAGGATCTAAACCTCCAGGAGTCTAGCGCTCCTCCTTTTCAGATCTGGAGACTTCATTCACCTCAGTACGGGGTAGGTAATCTGGGTCTGCAGGTACTCGAGCAATGAGCTCACAGAGGACAATCCCAAAGGCAAAGACATCAGCCTGGCGGGGAGGGAGGAGAGAATGTCAGTGGGAGGAACCGACAGTTTTCATGTCAGAATGTGTCAGAATTTGGGGGGAAGTCTTGATAGTTTCGTGTGTTGGAGGGGTGCCTATGAAGGGGAAGGGAGATCTTGGGGGTCTGCTAAATATTCAGTAGGGCTGTTAAGGAACTTGGGATGGGGCCTTATAAAAGGTCTCTGGAAGGCCTTGGGAACCTGAAGGACTGGCATCTTACCTTCTCATCATACAGCTCACCCCGCAACACCTCTGGAGCCATCCAGTATGGGGAACCTACCACAGCCAATGGCTCCTTTCTTGCCCCTTCCCTGCAGGCGTAGGGGCAGAGTGGTCAGAAACATCTCACTTAGATAACCCCCCTAAACAAACCCCCCCTCCCCACTCCAAGGGAAATGTCTCTGGAGGCTTCACTTAGATAGGAGCCTTCTAGAAAGTTTAGGGGGCACAGGGACATTCACCTCACCTATACACAGGAATCTTTTCAGCCAGGCCGAAGTCACCCACAACAGCCGTGAAGCCTTGGTCTTCCCGTCGGATCAGGCAGTTCTGACATACACATAGCATCCCCACACACCCATCACCTTCTGTTCTCTGATCTCCCAATATACACCCCAAAGCCCAACATACACCCCAGAAGAGCCCCAACCCTCTCCAATCTCCCAGTTGTCTAATGCACCACAATCTTGCGACTGCATCTATCACTGCAAACATGGGCTGGTACTGAGCCCCTTAGAGCTCCCCTTCACCTCAGGCTCTCATTCTCCAATGCTTTGCTACTCCAACATCCTAATATGTCTACTATATCCACATTCCAACAGCCATGGACCAGTTACAGTGTAACAGTCTCAAATCCCCTTTCATGCCTCCACCCACCTGGCCAGCCTACCTTGGATGTTAGGTCTCGGTGGAATACACCTTTGGCATGCAGGTACCGCAGGCCGCGGGCAATGTCCAGAGCCAGGTGGAGCCGGACAGGCCAGGACAGGGGTTCCGGGGAGCTGAGCAGCTGTTCCAGGGTCCCCCCATTCATATACTGGGGCATAAGGGGAGCAGAATGGGAATGTCAAGGTTTCTGCCTGTACTGTAGGTCTCCCACCTATTAGCCAGGGACACTCAGGAGGATCACAAAGGTCAGAGGGGTGAGTCTGTGCCCTAGGATCCCCACTCACATTCTAGGGCTGTCCTGTCCAAGACCTGTGCAACTATTTAAATTATTAAGTTTAAATAAAATTAAACATTCAGTTCTTCAGTCACGCTAGTCATATTTCTACTGCTGTCTAGCCATATGTACCTACAGAACATTTTCATCACTGCAGAAAGTTTTATTGGACCACATTGTTATACGGCATATAGGGAAGGTGACCGACTGAGGACTTTTATTCTGGTTAGCCCAAAGGAAAGTTCAGGAAGCCTCCCATGGGAGGAGGTCCTGCTGCCTGCCTCTCACTATTCCTCTGTAGATGCACTGGGGCGCTGACTCTCTCTCCCCATGGTGATGGGGGGGGGAGGAGGTCCCCTCCTTCCTGGCCCATCCTCACCTCTGTAAGAGCGTGCAGCTGCCCCTGGTGCACACAGACCCCCATGAACCTGGAAGGGGATGGGAAAGATAGGAGGGTAGGCAGTGAGAACCCAGGCCCCTCTACAGTTCCCACTTTTCCCGCGGGATCTTTCCTCTTCTCCCAGCAAGCTTCTCGGCAAGTGGCTGGGGCTGCTCACCTTAGGATGTTGGGGTGTCGGAGCCGGTTCATCAGCTGCACCTCCCGTAGCGTGTTTCCCCGGTTACTGGGGAGTCTGTTCATTTTCAGCACCATGACTTGCCCTGACTGTCGGTGCCGAACCTGGGGGCGGCATGGGCCGGCGAATCCCGTGCAGATTCTCCAGGTCGCGAGTGTCGTCCGGGTCTGGGGCCCCTAGTTCCAGCCTCCCGTCTAAGGATCGGTCCCGCCCCTCTGCCCTCTCTGCTGATCCTACCTTGTAAACCTCAGAGAAGAAGCCGGCCCCGATCTTCTCCGCGCAGTGGAAATCGTCCACGCGCGCCAGGCTGGACACGGCGCTGCGGAGAGCCCGGTAGGAGGAGGGGCGGCCCCGGCCCGGGCCTCCACCCGTGCCCCCCGGCCCCGGGGGCCCCTCCCCGGGCGCCTCCCCGGGCCCTGGCCCAGGGCCCCGCAGTGGGGGCCGTTCCCCGGCCATGGCCGGGCCCCCAGCCCGGTCCTGCCTCACATGGCAGGGTCCCCGGGGCCCGGGCAGGCCGCGCTTGCCATGGGCGCGCGCCCAGCCGGATCCGGGACGCTGGGGCTCCCACTCCCGCCTGGGAGAATGGAAGATCCGCGGAAGATCCTGGGCCCGCCCCCGCCGCGCCGGCTTGCAGGGCCTGGGTAGACGCGGCTCCGCTTCCCTCGGCGCAGGGCCTGGGCCGGGCGGTGGCAGTGGCTCTCCCGGGCGCCGGCGGGCAGGCGGGCGGGCTCCCCGCAGGCGGAGGCGGGCTGGCGGGCGGGCGGGCGGCGGCTGCTCCGCTTCGCCGCTGGGGCTCAGGCTCCGCGGCCTGCCATGGGCGGGGCTGAGCCGGGCCCCAGCTTAACTCCTTCCAGCCCGGCCCACCGGCAGCGGCCACGCCCCCTCAGGTACGCAACCCCTAACCCTTGGCCGCGACACCCTGGGCTAGAGGGTCTGGGACATCGGGGCCTATTAAGTTCAGGCCTGAGCTGAGTAACTGAAGGGAATTATGAGCTGACTGTGCGTACGCGCAGCTCAAATACCTTTCAGCGGCCCTGGGAGTCCTTTCTCTCCTCCCACCCTCAGTCCGCCGTCTACAGGCAGCCGAGCTCAGGAAGCTGCCGGATTTGTGGGCTCCGTGGGCCAGCAAGGCAGAAATGTATACACTGCAGGCCTAGCCACAATCGGAGGTAGGCCAGCAACCGGCCTACCTTCCCGGTCCCCGCTCTGGCCCAGTCTGCCCATTTCCCAGGTCTCGACCCTTACACCCCTGATTCCCTGACACTTTCTCCCTTCTCGGGCGGTTGTTATCGTGAGCCTGTGGCCAGCCCGTCCCCGGTGTGGCCCACACCTCTTTACTCCATCCCGCCTCCTTCGAATATAGTTCAGAGGAAGAGAGGGGTATCCATCCAGTGACTACACAGCCGCAACCTCCTACTCTTTCCTCCAAAAGACCCTGTCTGCAGAGAAGCCTCCACCTGCCCGGAAGCCCCTCCTTCCTCGAGATCCCACCCCTCGGCAAAACCCCGCCCCTCCAGGAGCCCTTTCCTTCGGAGACCCCTCTCTTCCTCAGTGAGCCGCCCCCTTCAGAGGGACCTTTCCTCAGTATGACACTGCCATCATCACTCTGTATCAGAACCCGTCAGTGCGACACCCCTCCTCTGTGTGTTCCACCCACGCAATGAGACCCCACCTCTTCGAGTGACTCCACCGGTCATTGTGACCCCTCCTTTCAACGTGACTCCTCCCCTCAGTGTGGCCCAGCCCTTATCAGTGTGACCCCTCTCTGGAGGTTCCGCCCTCCACCTTGTAGGAATCCGGTCTGCCCCCTCAGGCTGGAGGAGGAGTTGCAGTAGGCCTTTTTTAAGTCGGCCCTGGGTCCTGAATGCGCACGCACTGTGCACTCACCGGGCCCAACGCTTCCGGTTCTCTGCTGGCTCCTCCCTCCGGGAGGGGGTCGGCGAAATAGCCAATTATCGCCGGGGTTGGAGGACGCCTCCCCCGCGAGCGTTTGTGGGCGACGGTGAGCGACTTGCCACCTAGCGGCGGAATGGAGGGTGGCGGGAGTGAAGGCTGCAGGTCTCGGTAGCGAGAGGGCTTGAAGGAGGAAGGCAGAGTTCTTTTAAAAAATTCTCAAGTACTGCGTTTCTACTTCGGTGGTAAGATGAAAAAGAAATTAAGGCAAGCACATTCCGCATCCGTGTGCGTGCTCGCCTTCTAACAGAGTCCTGTCCCGTGTTTATGAGAGTTGGAGCCGAGTCCTATTTAATTGTCTAGGGCTAATGAGATGAGAAAAAGCAGTCTTAGATTATATGCGATGCGTTAGGCTCGAGAGAAGGCCGGATGCTGTCCTGTGCACCGTGCAGCGGAAAGTTTCGCACGGGTTTGGACAGAGAATGGGAGAGATCCACGGCCCTTCCAGAGTCAGCGGAGATAGGCCAGTTTTGAGAACAAACCTATGCCTGGGCCTTGTGCATGATGTTCATTCTTCCAGAGGCAATGTGATCTCAGCAAAACAAACTGATTCATCACGTTAATGTTAACACCCACAACTATTTAATTTGTAAATGTGCTTCCTTTAGTTGTATGAGATCTGTAAACACTAGGAATTTATGCTTCATTTTGTTAAAATATTATTATAATAGATAATGTAATTGACATATATCTGACCCTTTATCCAAGTTTGAGAGTTACTGTTTGTGGTGGTAGTAATTCCAAGCCAGATGAGCCAGGATCCTGTTTTTAAAAGCTCACTGCGGTGGTTGTAAAGAGGCGGAGAGACTGATTAGGCAGGAAGCTCTGCCAATGCTCGGTCAGGAGAGGATGAGAGACTGATTTCGGATAGAGATAATAGGGAAGGAGAAGAGGAAACATTCAATTAGTTTGGGAAAACTTGCTGATCGATTTAGTATCCAAAGTCAGTCAGGTCAGTGGAGAGAAAGCATCAGCCAGGATCATTTTTAAGTTTGTAGCTTAGATGACTGGGTGATATCAACTGAGATAAAAAGACTCCAGGAGGAAATGTTGGGTGGGAAAAGTCAGATGTTTGCCACAAGTAAAGATGTGATGATAAAGGAAGCTATGAAAGTGGATGCCATCATCCAAGTAGAGTGTAGAGAGGGAGAAGAGTGGTCTGACAAGAATCCTGGGGAACATGAAGAGAATTCCAGGAAGGAGAATGGGAAGAATCAAGCTGAAAGAAAAGAAGAGAATCTAGACAGGCTGGGGCTGGTGCCATGGAATCCAAGGAATGGGGAATTTAGGGAAGGTGAAATCCTGAACAGTATTAAGTAGTACGGAGGGGTCTGCTGAGATAAGTTTTAAGTATTCCTTAATTTAAGCTATTAGAAGATCAATTCGTGGTTGTTTTTCAAACTTTTATGATGGAAAAATGTCAAACATGAAATAAAGAACAAACAGAATAGAGCAATGAATGCTTATTTACCTTGATTAAGACCATTTTGATGGAGACCCTTGTGCAAAATCACTTACCTATGTCTCAGTTGTACTGTTGCTGTAAGCGATCTGGCTGAGGTGAAAGTACCTGCTTTCAGGTACCTTCTATGCCAATGATCCTCCAATGATCAATTCATGGCCAATCTTGTTTCATCTAACTCTATAACCCTGCTCTCTCCCTCCACTTAATTATTTGGTGTATATTTTTGATATATCATTTCATCAATAAATATTTCAATATGTTACTTTAAAAAGATAAGGATTCTTCTTAAAAACAAAATCACAGTACCATGTCACACCCAAAAATGCCCAATAATTCCCTAATATCAAGTATCTATTTGCTCACATTTCCCCCATTGTCTTATAAATGTTTAGTTTAAGAAATTGTTTGGGGCACTTGGGTGGCTCAGTCTGTTAAGTGTCTGACTTTGGCTCAGGTCATGACCTTGCAGTTTATGAGTTCAAGCCCCGAATCAGAGCCCGAAAGCTCGGAGCCTGGAGCCTGCTTCATATTCTGTGTCTCCCTCTCTCTCTGACACTCCCCTGCTCATGCTCTGTCTCTCTGTCTCTCAAAAATATATAAGCATTAAAAAAAAAGAAATTGTTTGAATCAAAATCAAATAAGGTCAATACATCACAGCTGATATATCTCTTAAATCTTTTTAAATCTTTAAGTTCATCCTCTATCTTTTTTCCCTTACTGGTTGTTGTTGTTGTTGTTGTTTGTCTTTTTAAAGTTTGTTTTAAGTAATTTCTATATTCAACATGGATCTTGAATTTATAACCTTGAGAGCAAGAGTTGCATCTTCCGCTGACTAGGTCAGCCAGGAGCCCCTATTTGTTTGTTTGTTTTAATGTTTATTTACCTATTTTGAGAGTCACACACACCATGAGTGGGGGAGGGACAGAGAGAAAAGGAGAGAGAATCTCAAGTGGGCTCCTTGCTGTAGGCGTGGAGCATGTGGGGCTCAATCTGAGGACCACAAGATCGTGAACTGACCTGAAATCAAGAGTCAGATGCTTAATCAACAGAGCCGCCCAGATGCCTGTTTGTTTTCTAAAGAAACCATGTCATTTGTTCTCAAACTCAGAGTTTCTCAAAGTCTGAATTTTTCTGAGCTTCTACTGGTAAATTTATCATGTTTCTCAGTCCCCTGTATTTCTGGTAAATTGTGGGCTTAGTACTCTCTCTCTCTTTTTTTAGTACTCTTATCAGGAGGAAAACAGCGGCCTTTTTGTGAGATAAATTATGATGGTCATTGCCTAGACTGGGGTTTCTTAAACCTGGCACTACTTAGTTTGGGGCAGATAATTCTTAATTGTCGGTGGCTCTGTGTGCATTGTAGGATGTTTAGCAACATCCTTGGCCTCTTACCCACTGGATGCCAGTAGCAACTCCTCCAGTCCTGATAATCAAAGATGTCTCTAGATATTGCCAGTTGTCCCCAGGGGAACAAAATTATCCCTGATTGAGAACCATTGCTCTAGTTTCATTAATAAAGGAGTTAGAAAATAATAGTCTCATTCTGTTTGTCCTTCTTTGTTTAGTAGGTAGAATACCTCTATGAAGAGAAACTTTTCCACAAGTTTGCTTCCCAGAGATATATTTCATGCAGGAAAGGCAAGAAAAATGCTTGTTTCTCATTTATTTTACCAGCTTTAAATGAGTTGGTCCCCTTGCATCCTCCAAAAGTGACCAATGAGATTTTTTTACAGTACCATTATGAACTCATAATTTAACACATATATGATGTATCTCAATTGTTGGGTGCTTTTATCATTTTTAAATTGCCTTATTTTGACCAGTTGGAACTTATTCAGGTTGGATCCTGAGGTTTTTTTGGTTTCTTAAGGTTTCTTGTTATTTAATATAGTAAAATGTTCTGTGCTTATTTTGTGTATTCCTAGACTAGAGCTGGTATCAGCTATTTTTTCCAATGACTCATAGTTCCCTTTTAGTTGGAAATGGTATTTAGAGACCATAATCTGGGATATAAGATTATTTGACCATAGGAAGAGCAGTTTCATGAATATAGTTGATTACCTCTTGTTCTCAGAAACAGTCCTGTCTACCATCTTTTTATTATGAAAAATTTCAAACATGCAGAAAAGTTGAAGGAATGGACAGTGAAGGCCTGTGTACCTTCATCTAGAGTCAACAATTATTAACATTTTGCTGTTTGTTCTCTTTGTGTGTCTCTCTAATGTGGTATGATATGATCTATGACCTGATATATATAATAAATTTTTATTGTATCATTTGAAAACAAGTTACTGACATCATGGTATTATTAGCATTATCCCCTAAGGTCTTTTCTCTTAACCAAAATGCCATGATCACACCTCGAATTATGTTCTTCATTTGGTTTCTTGATCCTCCTCATATTTTATTGGCTCTTTCTTCTAGGTCTTTTTGCTGAGCTCCTACATCTTCCTGGCCTCTAAACAGTGGCATACTTAGGGCTCCATCATTGGACCTCTTCTGTTCTCTCTACACACATGCACAGCTGATCATTTCTCTTGCTTGAGACCCTCAGATAATGTTGATTGAAGTAACGTTAATAGACACTTGTAATAACTTGTTCCTGATCTTTAAAAGAATGCTTGTAGCTTTTCACCTTTTTAAAAAATAAAGTTTATTTATTCATTTTTGAGAGAGAGAGAGAGAGAGAGAGAGTGCAGGGGAGGAGCAGAGATAGAGGGAGACAGAGAATCCCAAGCAGGCTCCCTGCTTTCAGGGCAGAACCAGGTGTGGGGCTTGAACTCACAAACTGTGGGATCATCATGACCTGAGCAAAAATCAAGAATCGAATGCTTAACTGACTGAACTACCCAGGTGTCCCTTAATTCTTCATTATTAAGTTTCATGTTTACTGTGGTTTTTTTTTGTAGCTACCTATACCAGTTACCTCTTACCACATAAGTGGCACTAACTAATCACATCAAAACCCAGTGGCATAGAAGTGACTGGGGGCTCAGCTGGTTAAGTGTCTAACTTCAGCTCAGGTCATGAGCTCACAGTTTGTGAGCTTAAGCCCTGCATCGGGCTCTGTGCTGACAGCTCAGAGCCTGGAGCCTGGTTCGGATTCTGTGTCTCCTTCTCTCTCTACCCCTCTCCTGCTTACACTCTCTCTGTCAAAAATAAACATTAAAAAAAAAAAAAAAACCCAGTGGCATAAAACAATTACTTATTCTCATAAATCTATGGGTTGATTGGGGTCAGCATTCTAAACTAGGATTGGTTAGAGTGTTTCACTGTGTGCCATATGTCTCTTGTTTCTCCTGGAAACTGCTGGAAAGCCTGGGCGTGTTCTTCGCATTGTGATAGAAGAAGGGTAAGAAGACAAGTACGATTTTGCAACTGCTTTTCATGCCTGAGGGTCATGTCATGTCTGTCAACATGCCAGTGGCCAAAGCAAGTCACGTGGCCAAGCCCAAAGTATACTGTCTATAGCAGGGATGGGAGGAAGGGAGAAAAAAGATTTCTAAACAATAATACATTAATTTTCTAAAATTAAACCAACTTTGCATTTATAGAATAAACCTAACTTGCTCTTGATGTTTTTT